ATTTAATTATGTTTGAAATTATGAACATTGCTCAACATCATGAAAGTTAAACCTTATTTTCAATAAGCAATCCTGAAAAATATTTGGGGGTGCTTAACTTTTTTACAGGTGTATAGTTCACATAACGTGTAATTAGACGTCTTTGGAATGCAGTGAATTTGTTCCTGAGTTAGCCAGATATTGTAAAGAATCATTCCCTATTTGTTGTTTTTGAACTTTTCTATGAGAGGTGACTTTGCAGAAGTTCTAACGTGTTCATGGCGACATTGATTATTTAGATAAGAAATACCAAAGAGATGACCAAGTGACGTGGGAGACAAATACACTCCAGGGAAGTTGGCACTATTTGATACCTACATAGTCGCTGATTTCCAGAGGATATAGGCATTTTTTTCTGGCATATATTTTTCAGTACCGAGAGTGAAGTGCGAAAGTCTTTCGTCTCGTATTTGTTTTAACTAAGTTGTATTTGTTTGTCCTGCGTCTTATACAAATAACTAAACTTTTGTTACTTTAAAACTTGTGACATATGCCTTTGTACAGTTCAGTCAGTATTATACCCGCTCTTCACTTTACTTTCATATATCCATCAAGTTCATTTAGATTGTACTGATTCCTATCAGAATTTCACCCAAATTTAACAACTTGCTGTTTATTACTATAATCAATAACAGAGTTAGAAATAATTTTTGTTTCTTAATAGCAGCATAATGGTTTCTTCCTTCGCCTCTATTGGTTTGTTCGTTCTCTCTTACATCTTCCAATCTTCACTTTCCTCTCCTTTCTTTTTGTGTAACTCCTGTCTTTTATATTCCTTTCTAAAACTCATATCGAACCGGCCCATTTCTTTCTAACATTGAACCTATTTCCAGTTTATCGGATTATAAAGTTTCATAATCATAAGAGATATTGTAGTCTACAAACCTGCTGAACTTAGAAAGGAGGGTCGCTATACCCGTTCACTCCAATTATTTTCTGATGACTTAGAGTTCTGTAATCCCTTAGAGACTGACCAAAGGCTGGCCGATTTCTCATTCTCTCAACTTCAACTAATGTTCCTTACTCCTAACTTCATAAAGTATAATCCATACTTGGTCGAACCATTAGGTAGAGCAGGCACTATCTTTATCTGTAGGAAATCAGTGTACCTGAGAATAGTATATGAAAGCCTAGCTCATCGCAATTAACATTTGACTTTTGCATTCCCTTTTAGCTATTTTTTTAAGATTAAATACGTAAAACCTGAAATTATGAGGAGTGTTATTGGGATAACAGAACGCTATCAGTTGATTTACCTTCTTTAAAGTAGGTGGTGAAAGTTTCTAATGGAAAATGTGGTTAACTCTGAAAATTAATTACAATTGAACAATTTTGGAAGACAGCGAGCTTTTCAGTGAAAATATTTTCTCGAAAAAGAAAACTGACGTTTGTGAGTAGCAAAATAAATTCCATTTATCCAAATGAAAAACTATATACCTTAAAAGTGTATAAATAATTTGTTCAAACTAAAAGTTACTCAGGATTGTAATAAATCGCAGGTTATTAAGACTGAGTACTTCTTTATAATGGACGTAAGATTAATACCCTAACATTATACTTTCTTAACTATTTATTTTCTATTTAAAGATTTGAAAAACTTGCATGATTGTTCTATCACACTGTCTTATAGTTAGGCTAGGTTTGGTATTTCCAACGTCAGTTTTTTTCTTTGTTCGTAAGCTTAAAATAATATGAAAACAAACAGTGTAGTCTCAAACCTTGAATTTTTAACTTACTAAACATTTTAGAACGTTCACAATCCTGTCTATAAATATATTTGAATGTTGTTTCTCTTAATCTTCAGAATAAATATCAAGATAAAGTGATGTATAATTCATGTGAGAAACAGACGTTTGTAGAGATGCTAATCAAAATGTGTTATTATCTCGATAAGAATTATCCTAAAAGAAAGCGTTAACATTTTAAGCTAATTAAAAAGCTTCTTTGAGATTCTAAGAAGGTTTTTAATGTTGATTGGATTGCTTAAACCTCTTATGCCGTTTGAAAAACTTACAAATATTAACATTGTTCAACATTATTTGGTTTTACACATAGTCCTTTACTCACCACTAATAAAGTAAAACACTTCAGTATTTGTATACAATATGACATATATTCACAATTAATATCCGTTATTATTCAGTAGCCTAACTGGTTATTTATTGGAGTAACGAATCAAATAATAGCTTAGGCCTTTATGTCAACATCAACTAAATTTTTCAACATTGTTGATGGAAAGAGCCAACATTATTGATATTGATAATATTCTTGTTTTTAACACTCTGGAAGGCGTAATTTAAATTAATTTCATATAATGTATAATTCTGGGTTTTAAGAGATTGCTCAGAGATTGTGCGATTACTGGTGAACATATCTACCTCTACAACACATTTATTGTTATTTTTTCATCTATTACGGCATGAAGTGTACATTTTATATCTAGTAATTACAAAAGAGAATCTTAATACTTAATGATTGGTCTTCCATAAAGAGCATCTGTGACTAGTAATTTCAAAGAATATGGAGTTTTAACAGTTTATTAAGTCTGTGTTTACCAAGTTATTTGTATTACAAATAACATCACAATATTTAATCCTGATATGAACTTGTTAACTCTCTCTAGATAACGTATATATTCCTTTCGGCAAAAAAAAACAACAACAACAAAAATCTACATATGTCCAAGAAGTAGTTTCGTTTTGAGCTCCAAGTACTTTCCTTATTTGGCTCCGATTATTTTAAATAGAATTCCATTAGATGATTGGTTAACTTCCAGTACTAAGTTATTTGAAATAAAAATGACCAATTATGTATATTCTAATTACTCTATGTTTGGTTTGACATATGGATAATCATTGTGTATAGTTCTTTTTGTATTTTTTGTTTGTTGTTTTCTATAGTTACTTATCCATTATAGCAGTAACTTTATGAATAAACAAAAAATGCATTCAGTAACCAAGCTTTCGATTATAATGCTGTATTCTCAATTGATCAGAAATGCACATCATGTCCTTCAATATTATTAAGCAATCTGTAATAATTGGGAACGTTGGGAAATTATTCAACACAGATTGCTTCCACAGGAAGGCAAACCGTTAATCCGTGCGTTGCGCCAAATAAAAAAAAAGTACACTGAAGATATAACAAAATCAGTTTTATAGCGTTCCTAAAACCTGCAGTTCACAAATATGGCTTCTTAACTATCTAGAAACAGTGACAAACCTAAAATTTTGTTTTTATTTAAAAGTTGCCGTTCATAATAAAGACATATTATGAAGAAAGAGTTAAAAATGTTTGCTATATTTTTTTGTCTATTTTAGTTTTAGAACAAAGTCACATTAATCTATCAGCTATGTACACCGCGGAGAATTGAACCTCGGATTTTAGCTTTGTAAATGTGTAGAATTATCGCTGTCTGATATTAAGACCTACGTCACGTAAACGAATCCATAGTTTTCTCTATCTAGTGACACACATATGTTAAGTTATTCCTCTAAACAGTTGTGATGACCCTGTCTCAGCCATAAAAACTGGATGTTCAGCCATTTGGAAGTTAAGTGTTTTTTTTTTATGTTTATTAGAGGAATCGTACTGTTGCCGGGGTTACTGCATGGACTTGCTGAGAAAGCTGGGGAACGACCTAAACTTTACGTACGATCTTTACCAAGTGGAAGATGGCCAATACGGCAGTTTTGAATATGTAAGAAATAGTCTTATACTTGTCGTTCTTTGACTTTAAATCTATATCCATCAATTTTTGAGAACTGGGTTGTAAAGTGTGTTTAAAATAAATCTTTAAACTATGAAAAAGGTTATTAGGAAATAGCTTCAGTCGAAAAAGCAGTTGTTCTTATTCACAACATTATATATTTATTTGGTATTCATTTCCTAAACATCTATACAGTGTGGTCAGTAAATTATTGCAGCTTCATACTTTTCTAGTTCGTGTATGTCATGAATTCGGTATTATATTCATCATTAGAACACAACAGCATAAATCAAAACCAACTGCTGGTCAGGTACTAAAATTTTTCGTTGTTGTATCTTTTGTTTTAGCAAACGTAAAGTAAATGATACCAGAGCGTTCATTTCATAAGTCATTGTTTAAACCTTATTAATTAGTTTGTTCAAGAAACAGTTGAAGTGTCGTTTTGCATGCTGCATAGGAACAATGGAATGTTAGGATTTGTTTGTTGTAGACTTAAGTATACTATTGTTTGATCCTTGTGACGATTTTTATTCAGATTTGTGTTGTAGTTTATTCATCAGCTTATTACTAAAACTCCCTACCAGAAAGAACGAAAAAACATGAAGCATAAAGAATGCTATTAAACCAGTGAAAGGATAATGGACAGAAATGATAACTATAAAATAAAGAACCAAACTTTATGGTACTTAAATCAATTAAGTGGAATACTTAACTTGTGGATAATCGGCTGACTTGAGTATCACAGATTTGAGTTGTTTATAGTTAAACACAAGGATACACAATGAGCTATCTGCGCTGTGCCTACCACAGATATCGGAACTCGGTTTTGAGCGTTATAAGTCCTCAGAGTTGCCACTGTGCCATTGGGGGGGGGGGGGTCTACAAAATGTGGGTCAAATATATCAGTTGAAAGATTGTATAGCTTAATATTTCAAAAAATAACAAATAACTAGTTAATAACTATCTACGCTTGATCGGAACCTATGACTTCTCATAAGGTAAAATACCACTCTTGGCATTCCATGCAAATATATGGTATTTTCAACTTGAATGGCACCTTGTGCGCGACACGCGATGTAAGAGGCCAGATATACCCATTCCTAATTAAAATTGCTACTGTTAACTGAACACCGGGATTGACTTTCATAGTTATAACGCCCAAAGAATTTAAAATTTAGTGACTTTGTCAATTAAATGATATAGTGACTCAATCAATTAAATAACCAAATAAACCTCGAAAATTACGCACGTGGAACGTCGCAACTAGTCAGGTAATTAACTTTATATTTTTGTAAATTTTTGCTGTTTTTCTTATTTAATATATATGTTTCGCAATGCACACGGTATGCTAATTATTAAAGTATGCTCAGTTTGCCTATGTATATATATGAAAAGCGTTATACTTGTCTCATTCAAAGCACGATCAATCTGCCTGTGTAGATATGAAAAATGTTATACTTAGCTCAGTGGATTTGGATTAGGCTGTATTCCAAGTTTTAATAAGTAGGCTCGAATTTAACCATTGCGTCAACTTTATGCGTTAATTCCAATATTTGGAAATCATTTTGCCAGAATATGTAAAATAGAATATATAATAAAACTTTATCAAGGAGAAGCTATCTTCCTATTTGTGGCAAAATGCTAAAAGAAAAAATGTTGTGTTAAGAACAGTTTTGCCAGTACAGAGACATAAAACTTATATAAAATATTATTTCAGTTGTGTTTTGTTATTTGTTTTTTGGAAAAGCTGCTAAACATTATTACTTATCACAGTGCACTGTTTCATTAAGTTTCGAACAAATCAATCTTTCTGACCTTAGGTGAATGGCTCTAAGAAGAAATTTTGGACGGGGATGATGGGAGATTTGGTGTACGAAAAGGCAGACATGATTGTCGCCCCACTCACAATCAACCCTGAAAGATCCCAGGTTATTGAGTTTACTAAACCTTTCAAATACCAGGGAGTCACGATACTGGAAAAAAAGGTAGATAAAATAAAAAAAAAAATATATATTAATAGCGCTAATTTTAATGATGCTTAAAATGAATTATACAAGGTCGTTTTTAGGTGTAATGTTTAAAGTGTTAACAATTACCTGTAAATGTTAAACAAACCTTTGAACAAAGAAGCACTTTTCACTATGAATTACAGCTAAACATTTGCAGTTTAGTAATCACTTACAAAACAAAATTATATTGATAATTCTTATATTACATATGGCAAGGATGAACACTAGAGTGAACAAAATGTTACATAGACTACTGGTGAACGTTATAAACATGTTATAGTTAGTACTGATGAGCATAAGGTGTTGTTCGCTTATGATAAAAATTATGTGGTATTTGCTATATATGGTGATGATGATCATTATATTGTATATGCTAAGGCGATTATTACGCTATGTGTGGTAGTAGAGATCATTGTTATGTATGGTAATTGTGCTTATTCTTATGCATGGCAATTATTGTTATTTTTATGAGTGGTAATTGTGCTTATTGTTACGAGTGGTAATTGTGCTTATTGTTATGAGTGATAATTGTACTTATTGTTATGAGTGATAATTGTGCTTATTGTTATGAGTGGTAATTGTGTTTATTGTTATGTATGGCAAATAATACTATTGTTAGGAGTGGTAATTGTATTTATTGTTATGTATAGCAAATATTACTATTGGTATGAATAGTAATTGGGATTACTATTATATAGGCTATTTGCAAATAATGTGTTTATAACTTAATATTGAAAAACACTAACATGTTTAACATAGCAATTTTCATCATATAAATATCCACTTCTCCACCAAGAAAATATCATTACATACAAACTGTTTCCTTTTCGAAGCAACCAAAAAGTTCCACCCTTGCCTCTTTCCTTCAACCTTTTGAGCAGACGCTCTGGATATTGGTGATGGTTTCCGTCCACGTTGTTGCACTAGCGTTGTATCTTTTAGACAGGTTTAGTCCATTTGGACGCTACAAACTTCCGAATAGTGATGCAACGGAGGAAGATGCTTTAAACCTTTCCAGCGCCATCTGGTTTGCATGGGGAGTATTACTAAACAGTGGGATTGGAGAAGGTAATTAATCACTCGTTCATGAAAAGTTTTACAAACTTAATATCTGTTATATTAACTGTAAAAATTTTATAAAACACAAAATTAGTTACCTAAGAAAAATTTAATATTTTCTATAAAGTATTTCAGTTCAACTAATTCCAGTTCCTTAGTATTTACTAAAGTATCATTTTATCTAATTTATATTTTATGAAATTTCTTTATAACAGAATATAATGTTTCTGTTTGATATTTTCTGTAAATAGTATCGCACCTGACTAAACTTATAAGATTACGAATGTCTTATTAGAATATAAAATCATTAATAGGTAATAAATTTATCTATACTTACTATTAAAGGGTGAACCTACAAAATGTTAGTAAATTAAAATTCAGCTTTTAATACTAAGTACCGTGAAAAGATCTACAAATACGCGAAATAAATCAGTGATTTCTGAAGTAACTTGGCATCAATTTGAGAAGATTCACCAAGATAGTAAGTTTGTTTGTTTATTTGTTTTTGGAATTTCGCGCAAAGCTACACGAGGGCTATCTGCGCTAGCCGTCCCTAATTTAGCAGTGTAAGACTAGAGGGAAGGCAGCTAGTCATCACCACCCACCGCCAACTCTTGGGCTACTCTTTTACCAACGAATAGTGGGATTGATCATCATATTATAACGCCCCCACGGCTGAAAGGGCGAGCATGTTTGGTGGGATGCGGATTCGAACCCGCGACCCTCAGATTGTGAGTCGAGCGCCTTATCCACCTGGCCATGCCGGGCACGTTGCTATTGTTAGATCTGTTTGACATAGATGTGTCTTATCTGTTCTAGGTACTCCTCGCAGCTTCAGTGCCAGGGTACTAGGGATGGTGTGGGCAGGTTTTGCTATGATTGTTGTTGCTTCCTATACTGCCAATCTTGCAGCATTTCTTGTTTTAGATCGTCCGGAAACGTCGCTAAGTGGAATAAACGACGCACGGGTAAATATACTTTTGATTTTCAAGAAAAATAACTGCAGTATCAGTAGTGAAATACGCCATTATATTTTTCTCCTTTTTTTGTAATTTCATATACAGTTTTCGTCAGCCAATGTACATAGAACATTAGTGAAATCATTAAGTTTGACCATTTAAGCCATTGAAAGACACTAGTACTGATTATTGTTGCTAGCCAATACAGAACAAAACTTTTTTCAGTTTTCATTAATTTATCAATTAGTACAGTTTTAGACAGCAAATTCAATACACTGGTTTTTATTACACTATAGTTGAATATAATTCAGAGAATTCCTTATAATTCCAGCAGAAGTTTGCCCGTGAAATTGCTTATACGTATTCCCGCATAAAAAGTAAAAGCTCGAAATTAATATTTTAACGTTTTATTCCTATAAAACATTTATTAAATTAAAGCACCAAAATTTCTATAGTTATATTATCACAGTAAACTTAATTAGATTATTTACAAAATTGCCGCCAACAAATTGTTTTGACATTAAAAAGAAAGAGTTGATAACTAAAATAAGCAGCCTTCTCTTGATGTTCATTTTTTACAGCTTCGTAATCCTTTGGAGAATTTTACTTATGCCACAGTAAAGGGAAGTGCGGTTGATATGTACTTTCGACGACAGGTGGAACTTTCAAACATGTATCGAACAATGGAAGGCAAGAACTATGACACAGCAGAAGAAGCTATCACTGCAGTTAAATCTGGGTAAATTTCTACTTTATACGTTGTAAATTCTCTTTGTAATTGTTTTGTTTTACTGATAAATCATAAACCATAGTAAGTAAGACATATATATCTAGGCATTCTGAATCGAAAGTTTTGAAATTTACTTTTAGACTTAGACCCGTATAAGATACTGAAAGATTCTAATCTATGATTTGAGAAATCTTAACAAATGCGATTAGTTACGTTAATTATACTCCTGATAGATTTACCAATATATATTTTCTTATTATTCAACAACGTTTCAGTTAATTCCACACAATAAAAGAGCTATGCATCACCTACCACCTAAGGAGAGTTTATGAATTAGGAACCCAACTCATAGTATAATAATATAATCAGTCACTAGAAATTTTATAATTTACTTTCTATCATTTTTTTATGGAATTTCATCTCCTCTAGTTCAACTTATTAACGTAATTTTTTGACATAAGAAAGGGTGTACTAGACTTAACATATAATATATTATTTTTATATTCACTATTAACGTTAAGTCTCGTCTTATTTGATTATATTATTAAGTATACTTGTTTATTCATATATTATTTGTTGGTGAGCGTATATTTTAAACTTAACTTTATGTATATTATTTTAATTTATGTGCATTATCCTTTATGTTTTAATGTGATCTAATTATGCTTAAAACTGCTGTTTAAATTCGTTTATTAAACATTTTGTAATGTTAGTACAAAATAAATTTAGTGATGTTAAAAATTATACCATCAGAATGTTTTTGGAGTCATGTAACACTCTATATCTTTACTATGATTAATATCGTAGTTTCCGTATAACTGTGAGATTTCTACTTGGTTTTTAGCTATCTTAACAGTTATGTTTTAACCGAGTATTATCAAAAAAAAAATTCTTTCAGATATCAAAGTGTTAGATTTTCTCAAAATTATAGGTTAACTAAGCCACGAGCTAGGATTAATCTAATCATAGGATCAATTGTTAAATAAATGCCATATCGATGTTTATACAGGGAACTAAACGCTTTCATCTGGGATTCTTCTCGACTGGAGTATGAAGCTGCTCAAGACTGCGATCTAGTGACAGCAAGGGAACAGTTTGGCCGCTCAGGCTACGGAATAGGTTTGCAGAAGAACAGTTTCTGGGCTGATCGGGTTACTTTAGCATTGCTGGAAATGCATGAAAGTAAGAAAACAATTCTGCGTTTAATATCTTGACAAGTGGTGAAAACGAGCAAAAGTAAGCATGCTGGGATATTAATTAAAGTGATTATTTTGTTGGACACTGCTGCTTTATGTCTTTACATAATACATAAAGATGTCACCAAAACGTTTGTTCTATAACACTCAACATACCACGTTTAATTTAAATTCCTATTAATATTTGTAAATTTATTTTTACAAAGCTTAAATACGTGTATTACTCGCAGAAAATTTGTAGACTAATAACACTAAACGTAACATATTAAAGCTAAAATAATCTGTATTCTACATCCTCAAGTCACAAGAGTGTTTGGAAGTAGATATTTTTTGCAAGAATGTGATAAGAAAAAGACAAACACTTGAAACATAGAGGAGTAAACGCAAGCAATACTACAAATATGTTGCCAAGTTCTCCCCAGTGGCACAGCAGTAAGTCTGAGGACTTATACCGCTAGAAATCGAGTTTCAATATCTATGGTGGGCACAGCACAGATTGATAGATGGTGGATACAGTACAGATAGATAGATGGTGGACACAGCACAGATAGATAAATGGTGGACACAGCACAGATAGATAAATGGTGGGCACAGCACAGATAGATAGATGGTGGACACAGCACAGATAGATAGATGGTGGGCACAGCACAGATAGATAGATGATGGATACAGCACAGATAGATAGATGGTGGACACAGCACAGATTAGATAGATGGTGGACACAGCACAGATAGATAGATGATGGATACAGCACAGATAGATAGATGGTGGACACAGCACAGATAGATAGATGGTGGATACAGCACAGATAGATAGCTGGTGGACACAGCACAGATAGCCCGTTGTATAGCTTTGTACTTAACTACAAAAAAACAAATGCTGCTAATTTTAACGTATTATTTAGGAACGTTTTATTTTCGAAAAGGATGATAGGTTTCAAATTGACATTTGTGCCAAATTACCAAAAAATCCAAACGCATTCTTCTTGATAAGTCTACTTCAAATCTGATTTCCATTACATAAAGTCATTGTACTTCTATCACGTGACATTAATAGAATAAATATATATTTTATAAGAATTCCACCTAACTATTTTCAGTGGTGGAAAATGGATTTATTAATATGTTTTATGTGCCATTGAGATTATTAAATAAAGTAAAATTATAGTAAGAAAATCTATCTAGGACTAGTTTTTCAGTACTTGAGTAATTCTGATTTTCCTTTCATTGATCTTAACATCTTAAACTACGTTTTACTTCGAAGTTTTTGTTTGAGATAAATAATTGTAAGGTAGTTAATTGGGATATTTTCTTAAGGTGGACACATGGAAAACCTAGACAATAAGTGGATTTTATCTGGAGGCGATAAATGTGATAACAAGAATGAGAAGTTTCCTGCTACACTTGGGTTAAAAAACATGGCTGGTAAGAAAGATGCCTATTTTTTTATTAGGTATGTATAAGTGAGCCTGGTAAGACCTAGTGGTTAGGGTGCTCGATTCGCAATCTTCGAGTCGGTGGTTAGAATCCCATCATTGAACATGCTGGCACTTTCAGCCGTAAGGAAGTTATAATGTGACAGTCAATCCAACTATTCGATTAGAGTAGTTCAAGAGTTGGAAGTGGTGGTGTTAACTATCTGCCTTCCAGCTTCTAAATTAGGAACAGGTAGCGCAGACAATCCTCGAATAACTTTGTGTAAAATCCAACAAAACAAACAAACTTAAGTTGCTTATTAAAACTAGATACAACAACACGCAATAAACTTTAATTACTGTTAATTTAAAGGTTACTCTTTTCGTGGTTAACTTTAAAAGTAGTATTCGAATATTCAATTAATAATGTTTAAAAACAAATCTAAATATCCCCTCTTTCAAACTTGGTTACTGTTTTATGTTGCAATAAACATTTATTAGATATCTGTGTTCTTCAATGCTCTTGTCTTCTAGTTTAACTGTTGAAAATAAAGACACAATTGTGTGGTTATGAAAATGACTGAGTTCCCATCTTAGATTATACTCCAACATCGATATAAGTCTCATGAAAGAAAATGTGTCAGAATTCTGTACATACCATTTTTAATGTATATTATTATCTCCCATAGGAGTGTTTATTTTAGTTGGAGCAGGAATTGTTGGTGGAGTAGGCCTGATCATCATTGAAATTATCTATAAAAAGCACCAAACTCGTAAACAACGCAGAATGGAGCTTGCTCGCCATGCTGCTGACAAATGGAGAGGAACAGTAGAGGTAAAATTACGCTAATATATTCTTGAGAAAAATGTTTTGAAAGAGAAAATAACTGAAATAAATTATTGGAGGAAACATGTCCACAAGAAAACTATAACAACCCCCTATAAATTACCCCTCGATAGAGTGGCATAAGCAGTTGAATACTGGTTAAGACAGTGATGGAAGGACATTGAAGGTAAGTTACTGGTTGGCTACCTGTAACAGAAAGACACGAGAGTAAGTTACTTTTTTGATAGTTGTAACAAAGGCATTCAAGGTAACAGGTTGGGTCATGTAACAGGAGATTATAACAGCTATGCTATTGGTTGTGTGTCTGTAAATACCTGTAACAATAAATATAGATTATTGATAGGTTCGTTGTAGTAGAAGGATGTAAAAGACATGTGTAATTTAAAAGGCATAACAGAAATATTTATAACATAAGGTTTTCAGAGGTATAGGTTAGCATATGCTATAACATAAGAACATTAGAGATAAGTTACTGATAATATACTTTTAACATCAAGACATGGAAACTTTTCAGCGCAAGGACATTTGGGGTAACTTACTCGTAACATAAGGACATTGATGTAAGTTAGTTTTTACTGCCAGTGTACTGTCGGAAAGGAGAACGATGGATACAATATTGTTATTTAGAAAACATAATTAGCAGTGGGTACGTTTTCAAGCAAAGTGTTTGAAGAAGCTGGAGCCTGTGAAGTAGAAACTGCCTTCATACTTAATTATTTAACTGGTATTTACTTAGTATAAGCTATACGAAAAAAGGGGGAGTTTTTCGTTTACTTTCGTTCCTTTCGCTGTCATATTTCGATATGTTCCATACAGATACGAACCAACGCCTCGTAGAAGCCTAACACGGAAACACAATACAGATTAAGACGTGACATGTTTTTAAGCGTTCTTTTTTTAAACACCTGTTTACTCAACAAGATTTATATCTTAAAATACCACGTCTTCAAATAATCTGCTCTTAGCCGTACTACGAAAACTCCTCCACTTATTTCGACTGTGTTTACATTATGGCCACCAACCTAAAGGTTTGGTATTCAAATATGTCATATGTCAACATATATATAATGAAATTTTTTCAGTTTTGAGTACTATGTACAGAAGAAGATGGACTTCTCTAAGTACGTTGTTTGTCTAAACATGTTAATCTTTAGCAAGTAAAAAAAAAATATTCTCAAAAAAAATCGATCCCTGGGTTTTTGTTATTTTATATAATTAACTACGTTAGTGTTCACTAGTGAAACCTTTTAACTGTACTGTACATACATAAAGATATATGATCCTTTTGTGTCTATAAGTAATAGCTAGGTAATACAACAGAAAAATTCAATATGTGATTGCTCTTTTTAGAGAAAACGGTTGAAGCTGTTGTATTTAATAGTAATAAAGTTAGCCAACTTCTTTGAACTACAGAACCTGGATATAAAAATACATACACAGGGACGCAGCCAATCTCGCTGTATAACGTGTAAGCGAAACGTCACATGACACACGCAAACGAACTAGTTGTGTCTTAGTAAAATCAGCGATTATTTTATGTAAGATTTAGCTAAAACATGTTTCTTCATTTGTTTGATTATATATCTAAATTTTCGGAGTTGACTTACGAGTAGTACTCCTTCACTTCCTAAGACAATAGTGCATGGTGAAAGTTCGTGTCCTTGTTAAATACCACATGGTTGTAATGAAACTTGAAAGTTATTGGCTTGTCGTGTCTCTGTTATATACCATGAAGATATAATGAAAGTTATTTGACTGTCGTGTTCTTGTTAAATACCACATGGTTGTAATGAAACTTGAAAGTTATTGGCTTGTCATGTCTCTGTTATATACCACATGGTTGTAAT